GCCTTGATTGTCCTTGTTGTTCTGTTCTGTGTATTACGCTCTGCCTCCGCCATGGTGTTGAGCACTGTCAGCACACTGGGTACACCCTCGCTCTGGTGTACAGTATTAGATAAACCTTGTTTCAGTTCACACATGTTGTTGGTATGACAGCAGTAAGGTGACTGTGTTTCGAACACGGTGTCCTCCATCTTGTTTCATGCTGTCAAACCAACAACAATACAATCATGTATATGTATAGTCGTCGGAGACACAAAGAAACGCCAGCGTTGGTGCGATCACTGAGAAAGAGATGGCTGCCATGTCCATCAATCCTTTCTCTGGGTTAGACCATACAAGTGAGTCCATAGTTTTACTCGGGCTAAGCTTGTTTTATTTCGACTCCCACTGCCAAGAGTATACTTCTTTCTTGCCATCTTCCTTTTCTACTTGCTTTCGTGGAGTGTGGCTGGTGAACTGCTCGTGCTGTTGTCTGCAAGCGTCGTGTGGTCTCGTCGGGTCAAATGAAAAACCTTTTACAAGAGTATACTCTTGGTAGATAGATTTACTACATGTTCTTGGAAGTACATATGCTACTGTCTGATGACGTGTTTTCACACGAAACTCGGGGTATCAGCGGAAAGAGACTTGTTTGATTCATTGCTGTGTAATATTTGTATTACTGGCTCTGTCCACGGGACATTGAGCACTGTAAGCAGCCTAAGAACTTTAGACAACGGTTCTTGGAAGTACGACAGTCAACCTTGCGAATAACGCGACCCTCGTCTTTCAATCATCCCTCGATCGTGCATGAGAAAAGAATGATACTCGTAAGTGACTAGTGTGTACCGTCTACTCTGCACTGTAGTCGATCTAGCTGTGAGTGTGACCAGCTGACGTGCCAGTCAAGAGATCGGATCGCAGACTAGACGCGCGGGGGTGCCAGAGAAAAATTACAAAGTGCAGCAAGGACGGTACTTTCCCTCTGCCAAACTCGGGGAAAGTCCCCATTCTAGCCTACAACGACGGTTACGTACATTACATGTAGCTGCCACGTGTGTGGTGTTAGGGCCGCGTAGCCTGGGGCGTATTAGTACGGTAGTCTTAATCTTGAGGTCGGATCCGAGTTCTCTGGCCATGCCATGCCGGGCGCCAGGTCCTAGGGCCGATCTTCACCAGACAGTAGTCCATGACTCATGAGTCCATGCACAGAGTCAGACGCAGACAGTCAGTGCATAGCGAGCGGCGAGTGCTAGTCCAGCGGCGTCTGCGAGTATTCCAACGAGGCACACAGCATACAAGTAACAAGGATCTGTTCGATCGGACCACCGGTGCGACAAAGTAACAATAATGATGCGTCTGGGCCGCCATGAAGTCAAGACCCTAGGCCTACATGTACGTGTAGGTTGGCGGAGCACTCTAAAAAGTGAAACTCACCACCACTGCTACGATTCATGCAGTGAGTGCTTCCTAGCTGCATCTCCTGTTTGGCAATGAAGCGGCCTTTGCGCTGATGCCTTCTTTCAAACATGTGCGTAACTTAGCACAGAAATAGAGACGAGGTCACAACAGACATTGAAATACTACTTCAAAGTAGGTAGTATCAAGAGTGCATAGATTGTTTATGGACTTTTGGTACATGTAGTATGAAATGGACAAAGCAGAGGAGGAATATATTCAGGAACAGCTTGCATTGAGATCGCCACCTGCACGTACATATTATTGTACCGTCTAGTGTTACATTGTACATGTACATGTGTGATGATCGTCATGAACAAAGGCACAGCCATTGCAGCCACTTGCCATGGCGCAACTCCTGCCGTTGACGACAAAGTTGTTGCTGTAGGCGCACACGTCGCCAGCGGTCACGTTTGCGCCTACAGCAACAACTAGTACTTTGTCCTCAACGGCAGGAGTGGCAGCGGAGGAACCTCACACGGCGGGCAGTGCAGTGAATGGCTCCACGGGCCTCTGCCTCTGGGACTTTCCGCTTCTCTCACCTCGTGGTCACGTCACTATAGTATGGGACCGTCACTTCATTTCAATCTATCATTAATCTGAATGATGCATGTAGGATACTATGTGTAGCAACGTTAGTGCGAACTTCTAATAGATTGTCTGCTTCGCGTGCTTGTCTAAATTATAGCGCCATCTGCATGCATGTTCCAGCAGCACTGTGTGTTTCGTTATCACCTTTAGAACTTTCGTCACCAGTCACCTTCAACTTCTTTGGGTATGCCACTTTTCTATGTAGAAAGTGCGCAATTGCGCCACTTTACCATATACATAATACTCATTGCTTCATCTGCTATTCATTCGTTATCTACCTCCACTGAGGAGCTCTTTTAATTAAGAGCTCCATTAAAATGAGCGAAACAGCTGTCTGGAGGATATGGAACATCTACCCCAGAACGGACTTCCTCGCTATGGAGTGGTGTGGTGAATGTGGGCCAAGAGCACAGTGTGGAGAGGTGGACGGTTCAGTTTATTTTCAAATGGGTGAGTTTGTCGCTACTTCTGTGTACTTGTATTTCGATTTTGACAGCATGTTACAAGGCCAGGACGCGTAGTGCTCCTGACTACAACCATAACCCGGCTGGCAAAATAGAACATGATAAACTACCAAGCAAGGCTTCTTCTGTGTACTTGTACTACATGTAGTTCAATGGTTATGTAGCTTGGTCAAGGCCGAAGGGACAGTCCCCAGCAATCGTACGCTGGGGGATGTCCCTTCGAGTGCTGTTCTCTTTCAACAGCGTGTGGTAGTGAGGAGCTCAGTGGTGGTTGCATGAGCTCCTGGCCCGGGTGCCCCAGCAGGAGAGGCGCCAGCTGAAGTCTTCTGAACATGCTGTCAGGACAACTGTTGAAGGCTCGCCAAACAGTATCCCCTAGGGCAATATGATGACAACCTGTCACCTCTAATGAACTTCAAAGTGAGTAGAAAAGAATGGGCTCAGAGCTCAACTCAGGAGTCAGTGACTGGAGTGCTATAGCTACTCTCAAGCACACACCATGCACACACACACACACACACACACACACACACACACACACACACACACACACACACACACACACACACACATACACACACACACCAAGAGATCAGGCATGCACATGCAGTGGCCACAGATTGTGAAGACCATGACCGTGCACGTCATGATGCAGCTGAGCTGAGCTGACAGGTGATGGTGTGATCACAAGATCTTGGCAGACCGTAATGTTGGACAACAGGTGATGTCGCGTACTAAAGCTGGGCTTATTCGACCCTGTAGAAGCCGATGTCATGGCTACGCTTCTATTCGCATCAGGCTTCTATTCAAACCAGGTATTTCTATGTCACGGTGTCAGCGCTAAAAGCAGGCTTATGTGCCGACAGTGTATCTTGAAAATCAGGCTTGTATTCAAAACAGGCTTCTATAATTACGAGGCAGGCTCAAGAATCTAGACGCTCTGATTACTACACACACATGGTCCAGGATAGTGCTACAGAGTCAGCAGCCTACATGGTCCAGGATAGTGCTACAGAGTCAGTAGCCTACATGGTCCAGGATAGTGCTACAGAGTCAGTAGCCTACACTGCACAGGTCACCGATGAAAACTTACAAGTAGTCTGATCCTACACTACAGACAACAGACTGCAGTGTGCACACCACTATAGACTATCCTACACTACAGACAACAGACTGCAGTGTGCACACCACTATAGACTATCCTACACTACAGATAACAGACTGCAGTGTGCACACCACTAGACTATCCTACACTACAGACAACAGACTGCAGTGTGCACACCACTATAGACTATCCTACACTACAGACAACAGACTGCAGTGTGCACACCACTATAGTATAGACTATCCTACACTACAGACAACAGACTGCAGTGTGCACAGCACTATAGTATAGAGTGACAGTACTGGTATAGCCTAACCCTAGGGCAGTAGAGGATGAACAATCCCAGCCGACCACTCTACACCAACTACATGTGCACAGCAGTTGTGGCGACGGTTCGGTGCACCACAATGCCAGCCAGAGTCAATGTGGGATGTGATACACGCACGCACGCACACACACACACACACACACACACACACACTCCCTCTCTCTTTCCCTCTCTCTCTCTCTCTCGCTCGCTCTCTCTCTCTCTCTCTCTCTCTCTCTCTCTCTCTCTCTCTCTCTCTCTCTCTCTCTCTCTCTCTCTCTCTCTCTCTCTCTCTCTCTCTCTTCTCTCTCTCTCATTAGTATTTACTGTAGCCCATGAGCACGGTGCAAAATTGGACTTGACCACTACTACCATGGCTAATACTAGTAATAGCTGTATCTCTGATGATGAGTACAATGTAGTTTGCCTCCCATACTCACTGAGTCCCTCTTCAGGCTCTGACCGCTCCATTCCCATACTCACTGAGTCCCTCTTCAGGCTCTGACCGCTCCATTCCCATACTCACTGAGTCCCTCTTCAGGCTCTGACCGCTCCATTCGAGAATGTGCTACTGAACAGTGCAAGGTAACATGGCTGCTGCACTCGTGACTCAATAAATTCTGTTTTACTAGCTATACCACTGTATAGTTAAACAATGTATTCGCCTACCGGTATGCAGAGTGCGTTGAAGTCCTCTAGGCACTGTACAGTGGTAACTCACCATGCGGCGGCATGTGCTGGTTTACAGATACCATATTTTCCGGAGTATAGACCTTATTCGATAACGTAACTTTTGGACTCGCCTCCAGGGATTTGTCGTAAGCTAGGGCACGCGTACGAGAAAGGAGTGGCAAGAAAGGCCTAGTTCGTTCAAGGGAGTAGTAAAATACTGGTATTTTCTACTCCATGTTCGCACGCAGAGTCCACTGTGCACTGAGTGCAGGTCTCTTGCCACTCCCTGGTTCCCGGGACCCCGGTTCACGTGATTGTGACGTTTCTCGAATAAGGTCTACATGCATAAACAGCACTTTAACCTGGTGGTGTGCACGGGTACTCGGGTACCCGTGCTACCCCTGAGGATCTCGGGTAGACGGGTACAGAATAGTACCCGAAAACCCGAAGTCGCAGATGATATCATGTACAGTGCATGTGGACAAATTCATGTAACACTCCGCATGTCTACCCAGTGTGTAATGAAAGGGGTGCATTGTGATGTTACCATGGAACCATTATCCGATCGGGTACCCGTGCTCCCCGTGGAAACCGACCTGAACCCGATACCCAAAGAAAATGCTACCCGACTCATCCCTAGTTTAAAGTTTACTTGAAACACCAAAGGCAGGCACAGTGGGTTGGTCTAAGACCATGATTGAGGAACGAAAGGTACCAGGTTCAAGTCCTGCTTGGAAGCGGAAGGATTATTCCAACTGTGCTGCGACCCACAGTTAATTGGGAACTCGTGGCCTGGCATGATTAAATCATGGATGTGGAAAATGGGATTTGAGCCTTTGGCCTATGGTTGGTGGATCTGATCTGTCCTCCCCCACCGTTTAGGAGCCGCATCTGACGCCTGACCATGGGGAGGTGGCGTCCCACGGAAGCGGAAAGGTGGTTCTTGACCAGGGAGTTGTACGACTCCTTGTTCTTGACCTGCCCGGTACGCGAACCCGTCGAATTTATTTATTTTTAAACACCACCAATTAACCCAAACAAAGTCGGCTTAAACTATGATGGTCAAATTAACGGTGATAAATGGAGTAAATGTCACTATCTCGTGCCAAAAAATCTGGTTACGGCTTATGTACTCCAGTGCGGCTTGTTTTCTGGAGAATACAGTACAATCGAGTGTTCAAATGGCAATATGCAGTAGGTGCATGTTCCATACTCTACGGGCGGAGCGATGGAAATCTACACCGGCCGGTAACCTACGTATCCACAGACGTTTCCAGCCGTCCGTCTTGAATGTCAAGCGGGCTACAAGTCTGCTGGCACGTGTGGAATAGCGGTGTACACAGTACAGTACACCGGTTGCTGAGCTCACAGCCGTGAGAGCCCCTGCATTGACTCTGGGCTTCATGAAGCGCTGCCAAGCATCTGGTCACATTAAAAAAATTACGTTTTGCGCGAGACTCGGCTGGAGTAACGTGAGAACTCGTGGCCGGCCAACCTTGCAGCAGTGAAAACGTCTGCATGGACTTCGGGTTCCCTGTAGCACAGCCGCTTAAGCACTCGGCTATCATGCACTGGCTGCAGCATGGGGTGGTCTGACCCCAGCTGGATGTTGAATCGGTACTGCACTCGAACACGTTACTATAATCGGATTTCAGTTGCCACCTAGTACTACCTAGGTACAGTAGTACTATAGTCTGTTTCAAAAAGATTTACAATCAGGTTTGGGTCTTAAAAAGTATGAAGATAAGGGAAATTTGGACAACAAAGTACATAGAATGGCTTGTTAGGACACGGCAAATTGTTCTGTGAAGGTTTCGGAACAATTGGACCAACCGTTAAGGAGTTAGAATTTCGGCCAGGTTTCCGGCCTTTTTCCATGGTTTACAATTTGCCCAGGAAGCCAGTATCGATTTTTTATCAAAACCCACGATTTCTCCTTTCCTTTTTGGCCTTGTGGTTATGAATGCTGTCTGCTGACCATGAAGTTGTGAGTTCAAATCCCAACCTATCCTCAAGTCAAACTTTTTTTTCATTGTTTTGGTGATCAAGCTGGTACAAGACAAAGAAGATGGCTGCACCAAACGACTTGTTGTTGGAGGTCGCGCTTCCTGCCGAACTGACTGACACTTGACTGGCTCACGCCATGTGAACACACCCACAACACTGCAATGGTGTGAGTGAATATGGAAGTCATCGCGCTGTAGCTTTTCGAGATTTATTTTTAGTATTTCAAGATCGCCAATTTATTTGAATTTAGCAGTCAACGCCGTCTTCTATCAGCGTTCACAAGCGTCTGTTTTTCTCAAAATGTCGTCGAAGTCACATGGATAGCTTTGCCAAGTCATGGCCCTGGGAATGAGTCCGTGTCGATGTCGTTTTCGTCACACGGTGAGTGAATTGCATCGCAGCTCAAAGAAACTATTTTGGTCACAAAACGGATTGGGACACATGCCGCTCGTCAACATTTACAACACTTTCGTTTCGACATGTCCTCTCTGACTCCATTATCGATACGAAGAAGAACTCGTTTGTTGTAAACCAGACGTACGTCCATGACTGTGTCAATTCGTCAACGTGAGTGAGTTGTCATTTTTCCTGCTTTCGCGCGGAATATTTCTTCGAGTTCACAGTGAGTTTTTCCAGGCAGCGCTCGAGTGCTCATACGGTAAGACGCCAAACTCCGCGGGCGATCGCCAGGGTTGTAAATCTTTTTGAAACGGACTGTAGGTGGCAACTGAAATCCGATTACTATCCGATTATCCGATTACAGAGGTACCTCTGTATGAATATAAAATTATTTTTAAATTAATAATAAATTATTATCCAGCTGTCAGTACTTACAGAATTTGTGCCCCCCTCGGGTGGGCGCGGGTCGAGGAATGGCCGCTGCGCCATTCTCTTTGCTGCTCCGTTGTGCTCGTGGCACGACAACGCGACCGGTGCGGGTAGATCAGACCAGCGCCGAGCGGGTATCTGCCGACGTGCGCCCTGCTTCGCTCGGTGAAGACCTTGACAGCAAGTCAAGAAGGAAGCGGCTGATATGAGCTCACGATCACGGCACACAAGCCTACGCTGGCCACAGTATGTAGGAGTACGCAGCAGGACGAGTCCGTCGCAAACACCACGAGTCCAGAGTGTGACGCTCCGCGATCTACGCTGAAAGACCTGGGCTGAGTGAGAGCAAGCTGGAAGACAAAAAGAGACAGTAAAATCATTCAGAATCATCCGGGACGTAGGAGTCGGTACTGTCTCTAGGTACTAGGTCTGCTGTACGTCATTGTACACGGGGGAAGCTCGGAGGATGTCTTTCACAATCATTACTGCATCAAGTACAATGATACAGTCATGTATGGCTAGGAGACCTCACCTGCACTCTGCGTCTTGAGCGGGTAAGCAACTACTTTGAGGCTGGCAGTGCAGTGGCACAGTGGTAGTGGTCGATTTACACACTACGGATCACCTGCTTCTGCACGAAATCAGAATCTAGGTTTTTGGCAATGCTCAGCAAGTGCTGCCGATACATGTACTGGCACACGATCTTCATCCGTTCACAAGCTCTGATCGGGTAGAAACCGACGCTGCAAGCATGTGCGATGTATTATATTGACACAGAGCATGCTCGATGGCAGCGAACGAATGATGGGCCGGGCCTAGCAAGCTTGCAAGGCCACATGTGCACGCTTCGGCCTAGATCGCCCTAGACTAGAGGGCCGGGCTAGTTCATGTCACCAGGCCAGCCGCCGAGATGCGATATCCCCGAGGATGTCGGATGAGGGATTTCCCCTCGTTAGCAGTTGTGTCCGGGGAAGTACCTGGTGCGGGATTCCCCTCGCACACCGCTTTCCGGGCACGTGCAGCAAGCACTTCAGACTGCAGCTAGATGGCATGCACATGGCATAATTATTTATCACTACGACACTAGTACTAGACCGTCATCGATCATCGTGGTACATAGTACATACATGGTCATGTCATCAGGCTTCAAACCATACAGTAGTCAGTTAGTTGATAGACTCCCAGCAAGTAGGAGATAGGGTCCGCGGATTCTGCAGGCAGAAAAATTGGCAGAATTCGGTACTTTTTCTGGTAAGTTCCATGCATGTTTGGTATGTGGACAAAGAAATGGAGCAGAATTCGAGGCCCAATTGCCCGCCATAATGTTTGTACGGTTCTGCCCATTTCACTGCTTTTCGAGCAGAATCCGCCGGTCCCTAGCAAAAGATAACCCCCATGGGGTTGGGGATATTCTTGATAAAAGGTGCATAACTAATGTATTTTAAACTCGGATACTGCTGAGCCAGTAATAAAATGTAAAATAGAGAAGAAACCCATGAGAACGAGTTATGCAGCAACTATCCACGACTGTAACAAGATGATAAACGGTCAGAAAGTGCGATAATAGGGCACAAAACTGACAGGTTACTGAGACATTCAGCGACCCGAGACCTACTGTAACTCCAACACATCTCCAGTGCGCAAACCAACAGCCTGCCAACGTTACTTGGAAGGTTCATGGTTACGTAGGACCGAAGAGGGGAACGTGAGCGCAGCGAAAATGTGCACAAGCTCTTCGGTCCTACGTAACCATGAACCTTCCAAGTAACAAGTTGGAAGGCTGTTGGTTTGCGCACTGGAGATGTGTTGGAGTTACAGTAGGTCTCGGGTCGCTGAATGTCTCAGTAGCCTGACAGTGTTAAGCCCTATTATCGCACTTTCTGACCGTAGGATGTGCAGCGCTATGGGAATGGGTGTGTCCAGTGTCCATCCGAAGTTCCTTCACAGATGAAGCTGCAGGAAGCATCAGCCCTTCTTCAAACTAATTATTTATTGCCCTAATTCTATATTTAAAATTAACACAATAAGAGGACAGAGAAAGTGTTTTTACTCCGAGTTTCACGCACTAAGCGCACGGACTGAGCGATCATCAGAAAACAGTAATGAGAAATCTGGATCAGTATTGGTTTATATACTCACAAAGCAAAGTGTAAATGGCGCAAATCTAAAAATTGTGAATGGGTGGCAGTGCAAAGCGTAAATGACTGCATCATGGGGCAAATATAAAAGTGAGAATGACAGCAGTGGTGAAAGGTGACAACCACTGGAGCCAGTTGTCTCTTACTTAATCAGGTGATGGCAGTGGGCACTGCAAATTCACAACTCATTTCATTTCACAGAATCATTTTCAACGTTTCGGCAAATTGCCATCATCAGGATGCAATATGAAGTGGAAGTCTGCAAAGGAGCAGTTATATACACTAATTTGGTGTTCTTAGGTGTTGATAATATTATTTCTATGACGACACATGTTACCTCAGTGCTAGGAATATGACATGTCTAAAACTAGTGAAAGATCACAAGTTTTCACTGACTCATATGCTGGGTGTTGGTAATAAGTAATTAGTTAGCACAGCGCAGATGTCACCAGATTACTACTTGAGAAATCAGTGTCTCAACAGGTTTCTCGCGAGCAATACACGAATGTGACCATGTCAGTGTTTTCCAGAAAATACTGTCACCTTGATAACCAGTATGGTGTGACTGTTTTAGAGTACATGTAATGACCATCCAGCACTGGTGTTGATCTCTGGGCCTTCGTTTCTGATCTCCACTGCCTCCCGCAACTTGCGGCTTGCCCTGTCACTGGCTCTTGCAATCACAGACACTGCTGAGAAGATGCTGTCCCTGACACTCAGGTTGATCCCTGCATGCTTAGCTCAAGCTATGTTGAAAATGAAATGAAATGAGTTGTGAATTTGCAGTGCCCAGGGAATGAGCATATGTGCTCACCAATTCTCTTCGAAATACAAATACACTCGGCAAACCTGCAAGAAAGCACCACTCCCGAGAATTCAAGTGAGAATTCAAGTCGGCAGCTGCTTGTGGTAGGCGAACTGTCCATTCGCAGCGCTTTTGGAAATGATTCACCTTGTATGTGCGACATGATCTGCTCATACGCCACCACTCTAGCAGCTTGAAGCGATTGGGAGGAGGGAAATACATTTGCAGGTCGATAATTACTAAGATCAGATGGACACCAGCGCTTGTGAATTGGACAAACGTTGGCAATCTTGTAAAAAGAGGGGAAAGCACCTGATCTGAAAGAGATGGTGAAGAGCTGGGCAAGAGAGGGAGCTTGATAAATGCCCTACTACTCCATGAGATTCTAATGATCTTCGTCAATCATGGCATGAACCCTTTTCACAATAAAGCGAGAGGGGTCGAGACGGGGCATGCAGTGCAGCGCATCGCACACTTGGCATGCAACCAGCATGCATGGTTGCTGCAGGACGTGATCAAGTTTCCTGTGTTTTCATGGTCCCGACGCGATGTTCATTTAATTATAATAATTATTATTGCCATCGAGGTCTGTGTTGGTGGGGAGCACCCGTGGCGGGCGATTTGTCCCACCGGAACCAGTGCCGGATTCAACAGAAGGACCAATAACCATGGTTGCAACACCAACACCAGCCTCACATCTAACAACAACAGCAACTAATCCACAAAACAAAGCAGCAGGTGACAGATAAACAACCGGGCCTAAGAATTCACGGTAAACATACAAAGGAAACAATCGGATAGGACGACGACTGACATGAAGGCAACGGCATCTACGGCTGGTGTTGATGGTGGAGGTGAGACGCAGGACGATGCAAATGAGGAGGAGAGTCAAACCGGTGTGGATGATGGAGCAAGTTGTGATCATGTCGAGCAGTGAGGGAGAAGGTGAGCTGGGTGAGAGTGAGTGTGAGGGTGTGTGCGTGAGTCGAGATTGTGTGCGTACGTTTCGTAATAGCAAGTCTTCAGTATATACAATCATTAATTTTGGTCTCTAGTACTGACTGTTGCCGTACTTATTCTGATTCCTGTTTTTCTGTTGTGTGCCGTGCTCGTCATGGTTACCGGTATCTGTTGCAGTTAAAGGTTTTGGAAGCTGTTTGTCAGCGCATTCATAAGCCGAATTTGTGTGTCCAGAAAGATAGTATTATTACCCAAAATTGTTCAAATAAATGTTGGTTTGCGTTGCGCAAACCGTAGTTAACCAGCACGCCACGGGCCGCGCCCCCGCAGGGGAATATTCCCGCTAGATGTCTTTAGGTGACCTTACGCACTCCGCCGTGCTGCCGCAGCCGACTTGCGCAAGCACACACTCTTGCGGAGTTCGGCATTCGAGTCGCACTCGCGTACGACATCCCGCTTCGCCTGGTGGAGGCAACCGTAGACGGCTCATCTACTGCTGGCTGGTGTAATTTTTGCCAGTTGTCTGTTTGCTGTGAGAGCTCGCCACGCAATTTTGTTTCCCACCCTCCCACACCTACCGGACGGAGAGGAGGCACGGGCTCGGCCGATGGGCACGAAATCCGCATGGTGCACATCCATCGGCTGCCGCAGACAATGCAATTAATTATACTTGTGGCACGTGGGTACTACCGAGTACTTAGTGGTCATGCAGTTGCCATAGCAATGTACTGGTACACCCATCCTTTATGATTGTTAGTATGTTACATGACCCCATGGGTCGTCTTTCAAACGCTCTTTCATACTCAGCCGATAGATGGCGTTATTTGTTCCTATCATACTACATGTATGTTTCAGATGGGCGGCCTTAGACGGCCCAGTCCCGGGGATCCCATCATTTCACGCGAACTATGTTGTCATCATGTGATCACAATAATCATGTCGCGCTCACGTTCAATAGAAGCTTGCGACACCCCACTGGCTCATCTCTTCTGTGGTGTGAGAGTTAAAGGGGAAGTGCATCGATTTTTCAAGTAGGGCTCAGATGAAAGACAATTGGATATCGGTTCCGATGGTATATCTCTCGCTTGCGTACGGCAAGGGAAACTTGCCATATCGCCGATTTCCCGATCCCGTTTCCATGGCGACTACAGGTGATGACGCACATTCTGCTTAGCTCCGTTAGCTAGAAGGTCGATCACTGCAGAATTGTGTCATTTTCAGTTGTCTTCTTGTATTCACGAAGTGAAAGAAGTACTGTGTTCAATGCTGTTAGTGCCGTGAACTGTTTATTAGTAGTCCTCTCCGTTGTGTACTGGGACGTGACACCGACAGGGGAAAGCTGGAGTGCGGAGACGCTAGCTGGCAAGCGAAAATCGTGACGAACCAAGTGCTGAAATCTTGGTTGGGACAAATCAAACGTTCAGCATTTACCTCAACCAAGGACCATGCCGTTTGCTCTTTCCACTTCAAAGATGGATGCGCTGCCTGCTGGAGACTCTCCTATCTCTCGTAACATCTTCTGAAGCCAGGTGAGACGACGAGTACTAGCGGAGATTAGCGAACGAAATAATGTCGTATGTTTTGAAATTTTTGCTGAACATATCTCAGGAGAGATGGCATGCATAGTCCATGTGAACTCAATCAGCCCATGAACTAACCCATGAACAAATGCTTTCCTTGCAGACGTTATTATTATTATTATTTTATTATTATTATATATTTGAGGATTTCCCAAAGACGTAGTCTAAATTGAAGGGAGTTCCATTATAATGGGAGGCTGTAGGGTTGAGATAGCAGACAGTGGAGGGCTAATAATTCGTAATGAACAGCCTAGCAAGGG